CAGCAAGAGCCAGGGTTTTCCTGGACTAATTATGCCTGACTTTGCACAGCAGTCACAGCTTGCTCGGCCCTAGCCTTGCCCTGGTGGGGACCCACAGCCTAGCTGGGCCTTTCTCCTGGTGCCAGAGGACGCTCTGGTGGGGCTCAGGGCAGGAGAGGGACACACAGAACCCAATTCAGGTGCCAGGAAAGGCTAGTCTTCCAGAAGGTCGAGTAGTTACCTACTGGGTGGACAAAGACAAAGAAGTGTTAACATACAGCGTTGAGGAGGATGCAGGGAAACAGGCACTCTACAGCCTTTGGAAAAATAATGCAACATCTTTTCAAATTAAAGACTCACCTACATACATTTCTGTCCAGTAATCCAACTTTAAGGAAATCTATTCTACTGAAGAAATAAAAATACTGGTACATAACATTGTTTGAACAGGAATATTATGACATTTGTAGCATAACCCCCCCAAAAAACTTAAATGTCCATCCATAGGTGGAAAACTAAATTGCAGTATAGCCACTCTATAAAGTATTGTATAACTATTTAAAATAAGGAGATATTTGTTTAGCTATTGATCTTGAAGAATTTGGTTGCAAAGAAATACATGCTACAATTCTGTAAAAACAAACCAACCAAAAAACCCAAACCCACCTTCCACATGGGTAAATGTCAAGTAGATGCGTATCAAGCAAGGGGGGAGTCATGGGAGACCCTCAACACTTGTTAGTGCAGGGAGTGTCATTCTTTTTCTTCTATGTATCTTTGAATGACTTCGTTGTTTACAATAACCACCTTGCTTTTCTTAATGTTGGGAGAGGAATTCAATACAAATGGTGGCAAAGAGGTAGTGGAGAAGAGTAGCTGTCCAGGAAGACAGGAGACCTCAGGGATTCCGGTTGTGGGTTTGCAAGAGGCAGAGTAGAGTGTAGGGGAGCAGTCACTGGTGAGTGGCCAGCCTGATGGAATTCCAGGAGCTTGTCTACAGCATCCCTTGAGAAGGCAGAGGTACAGGTGGTGGAGCTGGAGGGTGGGGTGGGAAGTGGAATACTGGGTAACCTATAGCCCTAGGAATTTAAAACTCTGAACTACAAAAAAAACCACGCAAAATTGCCCCAAAGTATTAAAATAAGGCTCTCTACTCAAGGATACTTTGAAGAATTCGGTGCGACCCATTGGATTGAGCCAGGGTCAAAGCAGGATGAAATTAAATCAATAAGATTCAGCACTGGAAAGTTGGAATGTTGTGGGAAAGTGCTTTACCTGTACTATCTCATTTGACACAAGGTACAATCCCATGAGATAGGCATGATGATCCTCATTTTACAGAAGAGGAAACGGAGGTCTAGAGGGGTTCAGTAACCCTCCCACTGTTGTGCAGAGAGGTGGTAATAGAAGGCTTTTCGCTCTGAAGTCCTGGCTCTTGGAAGCTGCTCTGAAGTCGACGTCCTCCCGGGTCGCGAATCTGGACGGAAAAACGACACTGCCCTCCCCCCAGCCCGTGAGGGTGGAGAGGGGAGAAAGAGCCCCCTCCACGTGGGGGGCGGGGATTAACTGAGTCCCGCAGGCCCTGGGGCTCCGCGCCGGGAGCTGGACAGGGCGGGGCAGGGCTAGGACCGCTTTCCTTGTTCAAGCATTAGGGGCTTGGTGCCCAGGTGTCGACTTCAAGGCATGCCTGCTTCCTCCCCTCCCCGCGGGGTAGGTTTCCTGGTCTAGGGGGTCACAGTCAATTGGAATGGGAGCGGCGAAGGGGGTGAACCCGGGGTCTTCTGGCGTCCCCAGCCATTCCCTATCATTCTCGCGTCCCGGCTCCCTCCCCCACGCGACACTTCGTTTTCACCTCGGGGCGGGTCGGGGAGACCGGCGCTTTGATTTCCTTTGTAGGTGTCTGGCGGAAGAAGGAGTGGGACGAGGAGCCTTCCTTCGAGGGCCCATAGGATGGGGCGATAGATTAGATCCCTCCGGGACAGTGGGACAGACGGAGAGACAGCAAGCGCCGCCAGGGCTCAGGGCTTGTGTATGGGGTGGGGGGAGAGAGGGAGGTGGAGAGAGCAATTGAATACATTTCTGGAAGAGATTCTGCCCGGATTTGAGGGAGAATTTCGGAAGGGGGAAATTTCTAGTTCTCTCTGCCTGGCTCATCCGATTTCCTGGGGTGGACTCGGTTGAGGGCTGGGGGCTCCTGTCTGGCGCTCTGGCTCGGTTCGCCCAGCGCGAGGGTCCGGTTCCCTGCGGCCTTGGCCTTCGGGTATTCCGACCACAGTGGGAGGATGTCTAGATTCTCAGAAAGAGACTCTATGTGTGGTTCTGGTGCTCATTTGCTTCTCTGAGAGTCCAGAATGAAAATAACTCCCGGTTTCATCTCTGCCCCCTATCTCTCGCCCAGGCAGGGCTCTGTCTCCTTCAGCTCTAAGTTTCTCCATCCTCTCTTGCGTTTCAGATGGTCACCCTCTTTGCTCCCCTGCTTAACTCTATTGTCTCCGTCTCTCCTTCGTCCTCCAATTTCCACTAGCAGACTCCCCCTCTTGCCAGTTTCCTCCTTCCCTATAACCACCCCCCATGCCCTTCCTCCCACACACAGGCCCTAGAGTTCCTCAGTTGAGGCTGGGCTCTGGCCTTGGCTTCTCTGACACCGTCACAACAGGATTGTCAGACCTGAAACTCAAGTGAACTAGTGTGTCTTGAATCTAGGAAGACCTCCTCCAATCCCAGGCGGACCTCAAGGGCTTGAAGCCAGCGCTCTGGGCCACGTGGAGAGCCACGGGCGGGTGCGAAGACCCAGAGGGGCTGCAGGGACGTGCTGAGGAGGTAAGTGTGATGACGCCTTCCGTGCCGAGGCCCCCTCCCTCCCACCCTGCCCCCATCGATGGGACGCCCTGGCCCTGGTTCATAACATCTCCCTGAACTGCCAACAGGGCTAGCCGCGTGGCTGCTTGAAAGCAATAACATCAACTAACATATGGAGATGTCATCATGATTAAACAGCAAATTATAGTCGAAGACGGCGCGATAATAATCTCAACAATCACCGCAAGAAGGAACTTTCTCTAACGAGCCAGACACGAAAGCCTGCGTTTCCAGGACTCCCGCGTTCCTGGGGAACCTCCCCTCGTGCACGTGAGCGCGGTCCCGGCCTTGGGCAAGCAAGGGAGCCCGCACCGGGCGCCAGGGTTTCCAGACGTGAGGGTGATCTATGACCCAGCGTGAGGTGAGGGGGACCGGACAAGACCTGGAGGCGGGAGGGAGGGCGCCTCCCTGGAGGGCAGCCCCACTTGAGGAGCAGGTGGATCAGTCGAGGGAGCAGGAGGTTCCTAGAGAAGAGCCCTGCTGAGAGAGCAAAGGCGCAGGCACTCCCAGTCTCCGCCCCGGATCCCTCTGCCCCCTCTCCCAGCCTCGCCCCCTCCTACACCTTCCAGAAGACTGACTTCTGGGAGGGAAGCCCGCGCTGCTAGGGAAGGGTCGTCCTCGGTGAGTCGCGGGGTCTCCCTTCCCCCAAAGTCCGAGAAGAAGGGCGCGTGCCTTTCATTTATTTTATTTAATAAGCGAGGGGCCCAGTGGTGCGCTAAGGTTCGATCCCTCTTTGCAGAGGAAAAAGATGCCGATAGGAGGCGGCGCGCTATGATGAAAAAAAAAAAAAAAAAAGACTGAGGAAGACCCTCCCTTTATCCTCCTTCCCCTCCCCCTCGTTAAATAGATTCGAATTTAAAACAGGCTTACACATTTTTAATATGAATTACAGGGGTTGAACTCAGAATGGAATCATCCTATTTATAAGCAGACCGAAAATAACCGTTGGAACGAAAAGAACAAAACGCAACTACTTTCCAAAAACCTCCAGCGTTTCGGGGAGGGTGACCACCTCTCGCAGGCAGCGCGGGCCTCTTGGGTTTTGCCCGAGAACGGGGAATCGGAGGAGGGTGCCGGGCGGGGGAGGCGGGCGAGGCGGTTCCCCTGGCTGCCCCGCGCGGCGCGTGCGTGGACTGGCGGCCGGCATCTGTGCTGCCATTAAGAATCCGAGCAGCTTCCAGAGCTCCGGGCGCGGGGACGCATGTGTTGCTGGAATTCAGTCCGTGGGGGGAATGCAGATGGGGCTGCGACCCACTGGGTTTGATTTACGAACGGTTACACTAGCGATTGTTTACACATTGCATTTCGGAGCCGCGGCGCACCCTCCGCGTGGCCGGCGGCGGGCTGCTGGGGAACCTGCCACAGCCTTCCCGGCCCCCCTCCGTCCCCCTTACACACCCCCCGGGGGGCTCTCCGCAGCTCCCTTCCACCCCCACCTTCTCCGAGAAATGATATTTCGATTTCATTGAGCACAGAACTCTCCCGCCCCCAGCCCGCGCCAGGCCTGCAGCCCCCGGGCCTCGGTCGCCTCGGCTCCTGTTTACTCCGGAATGTTTACTTCTCCGTAAGGCCATGCGGAGCCTATAAATAGGCGAGGTGGAAGCAGTTCGACTGCCAGATCAATAGGGCCCCGTCTCCTCGCCATTTCAGCTGAGCTGTCTTATTAATTATGAAAGGATTCACCTGATCCCTGGCAGGGAACGCAGCCTCCCGGCCCCTCTGCTGGAGCCCTTAATGGCGGTTCCCTCTCAAGCTGCCTCTGGCCACCGCAGAGGAAGAGGCGAGTCGTGGTTAGGGCCGGGCCTGCAGGGACCGTGGTTAGGGCTCCGACCCGCTTGGGGCGGGGGCCCGGCCACCGGCATTCTGTTTGCCTGTGCTTGCTCAGCCACGAGCAGGCCCAGCTCCTCCAAGCCTCACCTAGAAAGCATTTCTGTTTTTGAATTACTCGATTTAAAAACGACCTCCATCCTTTCTCCTTTAAGGGAGCAGGATTTGGGGGATGTGGCGGCGTCCTAAGTGAGGAACGTTCGCTGGAAGGCGGCAGGGCACCCAGTTGCTTTGTGAACTGGTGACTTTATCACCCGGCATCTTGTGTCCCTTCGGGTACCCAGAAAACTCGGCCGAGAACGCAGGCTCGGCGTAGGAAACAAATGACACCCCACTTCAAACAATAACTTTTATTTTATACTTCTCTATACTTTGTAGCAAATCTTTTTTGCTGGATTTAATTTATAATAAACTTTTTAAATTACATCTCTCTCTCTCTCTGTTTTTAAAATCAAGGCTCTTTTATGTGAAAATCTTTTTTTAACTATATTTTAGATTAACATTTAACATCCCCCCCTTGTGATCTATACCGTTGGATATTCGGGTATTACCGTATGTGTAACAGCTAAAACAAGAGAGAGGAGGGAAAATAAAGGCAGTGGACTTGGAAAGATGCGTCGACAACAGCAGGGAAAGCTAACCCCTCAGGGACCATAGCAGCGTTTCTTCGGGAGCCTCGACGGTGATACCAGCCATTTCCTCAACCCCGGCCGCTCTCCCTCCTAGCCTCAAAACACAGAGCCAGCCATCTGTCCTTTCGCTCTTCTCGAGGAGAAATGTGCAGTGGAAATGACCAACACAAGAGACTGTGGAGGAACGACGTGAGTGTGAGTTTTTCCCCGTGTGCTTCGCCCGAGGACATCGCTCTTGAATCCTCTCCCTGGCCTTCTGCTCTCCTCGCTGTCCTAGCAGGAGGAGCCCGTCATTTCTCATGCTATTCACATGATTAATAGAGTAGGTGGCCCAGGGCCGTTCCTGAGATTCTTTTGCCAAAAAAATAAAAATTTAAAAATGGGGGTGGGTGTGCCGTTTTCTTATTTGTGTGTGAAGACGGACTAAAGCTGAGGTCCGATTTGGGCTGTGCTTGCGCGCTCACTGACTGGGAACATGTGGCAAAGAAAACACAAGAAATCGAACGAAATCATAAAGAGAATCAGGATTTCCCACAATCCTACATGAGTGTTTTCAGCATCACAGAGAATCACAACGTCCCCAAAGAACGAATGGATCTTCCTCTCGGTTTCTGGGAGCATGAGGTGAGTGTGGGTGGGCGCGCGGGGGGAGCCGCCCCGCGCTCAGAAGGAAAGCCAGGTCGCTAAAGCTGCCGAGAGAGACACCAGGAGCACGGGGAGCGCCGGGAGCAGAGACCCCGCCGCCCCGTTGCCGCTGCCGCAGAGTTCGAATAAGCTGCCTTGGAAGTTGAGGTTTTTGGATTCTTTTCTCAGTTTATCCCACAAATCTTTCGCCCCTTCCTGGCAATCCGTAAGGGCTGTGACCGTGCAGCTGTGGAAATCCTCCCAGTATCTGGCGAGGAACAGAACAGAACAGAACAGGCAGGTTCACTTGGGGCCCGAGGAGGGTCCTGGGTCCACGTC